TCCTTGTCTAGAAAATAAAATAACCAATGTTATTTTTAATTATATATATTTTTTCAATATTATTATATTCTAACTAGAAAATCCACAAGTAATATTTTAATAAATAAGATTAAAATAAAGATATAAAATAATATAATTATGATAAAATATTTAGTTTTTATTAAAAATAATATACTAATTACTATGTTTAACATATAAATAGTAGTTTTAAGATGTTTCTATAAAATAGAAAGGCATACTTATTACAATTAAAAGAAATTTATTTAGACATAAAAATAGTATATTTTCTATAAAAAAAAAATAGCTCTTAGTAGAAGTTAGCATTTATGAATAATAAACCACTAAAATATGATAAAGAGGGCAAGGATGGAGGTTAGTCTTCAAATAATGTAATAAAATAAATAATTATACTAATAAAAAATAATATATAGCATTTAATGATTACAAGTTTGAAAAAATAAAAATGAAATAAATAAATGTAATAATGGTTGGATAGAGTAGGACAATTGACAAAATTTGTGTCCAAAAATTAACAAAGAAAAATATACAATGTATTTAACATAATATTTAGTAATATTTTATCTTTGATAGTATTTGTCTTTTTACAATTAGGATTTTTTTAATATCAAAATGAAAATAATAAGAAGAAAGATTTGTATATTGATTGATTGCTATATTATTTACTTTTTGGTTTTGATGTAACTATTGATTATTTAAACATTAACCCTTTGAGCTTTGTATATTCAAATATAATAGAATACAAAATATTTTTTTATTTTTTTTATTTTTTTGATTAAATAAAATATATAAAATTAGTATAAAATTGAGTTGAAACTTACAAAGTATATCTTAATAGTCAACACACATATTTTTAAACAATATTGTATAATGTACTTAAATCTAAGATGGTTTAATTAAATAAACTAAAGATAATTTGATATTTAATTATAAATTATTTATGGACCAAAAGAAAGAAACTAATATCAAGAAGTAGTTTCTTGGTGAATTTAAGTTAATGTCTTTTTAGTAGAAGACTTCACCTACTCTTTCAAGAATTAATATTAAATACCTTGGTTATTAGATGGAAGTAAAAAGCTAGTATGTTATTAAAATAAATAGTTTTAAAGAAATTATTTTTTTGTCTTTGTAAAGTTAAGGTGATACATATTAATGATTCATAAAATTTAAATCCAAGACTTCTTTTTGTAATTGAATTCAAATAATCCAATTTTAAATATATTCCAACGACTTGTATTCATAAAAATCTAAATTAATAATTTCTAACATCAAATAAAAAATCCATAAACATTTCCTAAGTATGATCGGTATTAGTAATTAATTTGGAAATTTTAGTACAATAATAAAAAAATAAAAAAAAGCTAAAAAGACATATTGTTATAATATTTTCTATTTGCCTCAAATTAATTAATTCTTGGCAACAAAATTAGAATTAATACTATAGATAAATTATTATATAAATATATATATATATATATATATATATATATATTTATTTATTTTTGATTTGTTGAAATAAGCAAGATGTTCGTTTTGATGCTTGAGATGATCATGTTGATGGTTCAATGCGATAAAAATAATGACACGTGTCAATCCATTACTGGATAACATAGAGCAGCGGTGGGAGCCAATCAGCAACCCAGGAAGAGGTCTTCTGTACAAATTCTCATCCATCCATATAGTGAGTGAATGATGGATGAATGAATACACGCAGAATCCAACTTCCCTTGGCAGGTGGGTCGCGACCCAGGTGGACGCTGACTAAGCTGCTGAGGTGGAATAGCCTTCAGAGCCTCGTAGTGATCCTCCCTTGTGTGTGGACGTATGCTTCTGTAGCTCCGAATAAGTTGGGCGGTGTGAAAACGGTTCTCGTCATTTGAGCTCACAAGCCCTGCTTGGGGTTCGCATGTGGGGTTCCCAATGTTGGAGATCGCAAGTTCCCAATGTAGGATATCGCAAGTTCCCAATGGTGCCCTCCTCCATGCCCATACTACAAAATTTTGTTGCTGTGGACGTCTTGGCCTCCTGAAGATTTGTTTATATTATTCCTGATTTCCTCTTCTGCTGAAGACAAGTATTCATTTTTGTGTCAGACGGAATTGAACGTGTGAGTGATTTCTTTCCTTCTTTATCTCGTTACAATATTTAATAGGTCAAAGGATTCTTTTCCTTTCTCTAAAACATGATACATGATAAAGCTTTAGAAGAATAAATATCGATGAAAAAATTAATCGTTGTATTATTACATGTTATGATTAGAATCTAAATTTGGAACAACACATGTCTATGGATACTCTACATCTGTCTTCCCAACTAAAAAATTTGTATTAAAAAAAAACATTTCTCCGTGTCTTTTTCAAAGCTCTTTACATGGATTTTTACTAGTAGCAAAAGTGAAAATTTGCCAAACGTAAGACTTGAAATAAATATGATAAGTTACCTGAAAATAGCCATCATAAGTGACAAGTTCCATATGGTCATCAACACTCCTGGCCAAGGGAACCACTGGTTCAAAAATTGAACTATCCAGGCACCTACTTTAAAAGACCCCTATGAAGTAAATAAATGCACATGGATAAGAGGATGACACCTTGAAGAGAACAAAGGGGGAAAGAGGTAGATGAAGTGAAAGCACCCCAACACTAGACCCACAATACAAGGCACTTCTACTTCCAAAGAGACATCCCCTCAACCTCAGGGTCTATCATCTGGAGAGGCTCCAATTGGACAACCAGGGGGCTCAATTAGGTGTAGCTCACACACCCCATATTATTGAAGAGTCTAACCCTAAAACTAGGACCAGCACCAGCTAAATCTTAAGTGGAAATGGGCACCCATATAACCAAAGCTTTGATTAGACCACCGCTAACGAGCTAACTACTAAATTGCAATCCAATCATAAGCTGAAAAAAGGGGAAAAGAGAGAGTGGAATCCACTTCGAGGAGGCCATTAAATGAGGGTCCTATAACTGCTCTCCTTCAATTCGTCCCCAAATGTAGAGGCATCCCCACTTCTTAACTACAAAGTTTGTCAACCCTATTCTAGGGCTCTCTCTCCTACGAAAGGGGGTGAATGAATAGTGTAGCTGCCTAAAACCTCTGGGTGGGTCCTTTTATTAGCAATAGAGTTCCCTTCCTTCCTATTGTGAAGGGAACCCCACCGGGGGTGTTAATGCCACCTAGACAATATATGTTGTATGGGGTCTCATCCTACGTGGGATTAGCAATCACTTAAAGGGAAAGTGGGGGCAAAGCTATAATCAAGGAAGGTGGGGAGGGGGAGCTGTCATTGAAGTAGTAGCGCAGATCAGTGCGTTTCCATTAAGTTGTCTTGAAAGGCTGTCATTAAATCTAAGCTTGAATTTTTTTTATCATATCCACATTGTCTTCCCGTTTAACCCCCTCAAATCATGATAGCATTATCCTTCAAGATATATATACAACAAATTATCAAATAAATAAATAAAATCAGATGTTTTTGATGCCATGTTTCCTCTGAGGATTCTCTATGGTGCTAGACAGAGAGGAAGGCCACAGTTTTTTTTTCCAACTTCTCATAGCCTTCCAAAAGAAAATCTAAAGAGTAAAATGTACACCAAGGTTTGCAGAGTTATTGTACATTACATCAAATACATTAAAAAAAAAAAAGTATAGTTTTAGAACATACAATAGCGAATTGGCTGTTAAAGCATGCTGGAGTGAATTTATTTTGATGACTCTCATCGTGATTCAGATGGAATATATATATTTCTTTGAAAACGTTTTCATAAAGTTTTCAAACATGATAAAACTCTTTTTATTTTGCAACTTTGTCCATTTTAAGAAGCCATTGATAAAGTAAAATTTACATTTTTAAAGTCACACACACAAACACATACATACATACGTGTGTATATATATATATATATATATATATATAATTTCTCTCCTACATCAAAATTAAGTCTATTGTCATCTTGTTTATCTACACTTCAACATTGTGCACGATTTTTTTTCACCTTCAACTAATTCAATGTTGAACTTTGAGTGCAAAAATATTAAGATTTACATGTGACATCAATGTTAGATGTATTGGTATGAGCACAACTACATTGCTAGGTAGCAAAATGTCTCAATATTAGACAAGGCATAGTAATGCAGATTTTATTCCAAAATATTTTTGATGTTTTCTATATATACATATGTATGATTATTTTTTGTAATGGCATAACAAACTTCAACACAAATTTTACCATCTTACATGATCATATTTATATAAATATAATATAAAGAAAGCACTTGTTAGTGTTGGGGAAAATGTATAACTACTTTATTCAACACAATTTTTTATATGAAACATTCATAATAATAATAATAATTATTATTGCAACTACATTATCATCACATTGCTACAATTTATATTTTGCATGAACGTGTTAAATTTAGCATGTGTATTTATATTTATACACACACACAGAAATGTAAACTTTTACTTGTAAAGAACTTGTAAGCATTGGAGCATTGACAATGGATTTACAAGATAAAACCTGTTTCATCATCAAGAAGTTCCATTCAAGTTGCTTATCAAAAGCTCATGGTACCACAAGTGGAGTTTGCACAATTCTATTTAGAATGCATTTCAGTTTGAATACAGGCTCCACAAAACAAAGATTCAATTGAATATTGTTGGAGCAACTTGCAGAGCCACTTGCTGGAGCCAATACTTATGATTTTAGTCATTGAAAATTAAAACATAATCTTAAAATATTAGGATCAATGTGTAATAGAGAAAAAAAAGCATAACTAGATGGAACTCGAAAATTTTGCTTAGTGTTTCAATAAAACGTGACATCCAGCTCCTCCTTAGTATACATACATTTAGTAATATTTGTACATTACAAAAAAATCCAACATCTACCCAACTGTGGGTAGGTAGAATAAAAGGAAGTATTATAAAAAATATATAAAAAGTGAAAGTGAAAACGGGGCCAACTTGTAGGCAGGGCAGGCAGGCTGTGAAGAAGCGTTGTTGTAAATGAGAGTTGGGGGCCCAAATGATCAGCCAGGGTGGGCACCTCCCATGAAGACCACGCTCCCCCCGGCGGCGGTGTTATTTTCCTCCCCCGTGTGCTGGATCTGCCCGCAACCTGGCCCTAGGGCAGCCCCTCCGAATTAAAATTTTCCAGCGCGGGCACCGTCCCGTCGCGCATGGCCCTGGCCCGGCGGACAGGGCCGCTGCGTCGCGTTCCTTCGTTCTCGATCTCGCTCACTCGCTCAAACTGGTTTGTTGTGGCGTGGGGGCAAGAGAGAGCATATAATATCATGTGCGAAATCGGGGACTTCGTTGCTCAAGGCCAAGCTGCTTTCATTCCCCACTTCACCTCGCCTGCTCCCGTGCTCGTTCTGCTCTCCTCACCTTCGTCGCAACTCCTTCTCACAGTCCCCTCTGCAACGACGTTGAAAGTTTCGTTTCCTTGAGCTCTTCTGTCAAGGAAACAACACTCCTGCGCAGTTTGTCCTAGTATTTCAGCATTTCTCTCGAACTGTGTCATGCTGAGTGTGTGATCGTGTCACGATTTTTGGATTGTGGCTCGCGTTGCACTCGTGGGACGAGGTAGCTTTCGACGCCAGCGGGAGGTTTTTCTGCGTTTGTTACTTGAGACGTTTTGGAGATAGTTTTTTTGGGTGGTTTTGGAGATTTGGGTTTTTGTGTTAGGTTTGAAGTTAGCAGCTGAGTTGTTGGAGTTTTTGGTTGGGTTGGATACAAGAAACACAAGTGGGGCTTCTGGTGCTGCATTGTCATTTTTGGGTCAGAATTTAGTTTGTGAACTAGGTTAGCTGCGTGCGTTAGCAATGGCACCCGCCGCAGCAGTGTGCAGCACCATGGTTCAGAAGCAGTCCCAGGAGCCAAAACAGGTTGTGTCCGGAAAGAGGCGTCTCACTCTGGACAGCTGGGTTTCACAGCCGTCGCACGAGGCAGTGCGCGCCAGTAGTGGCAGCTCGTCTGGAAGTTCTTGTACCACGCAAAAGGGCTCGTCCCTGGACAAGACTTTAACATTGGTCACTGGGGATGACGAAGCTTGCTCACGAGTTTCGGCGTGCGTGACGCCAAAATCCAAGAAGCATAGAATTCCAGTCGTAGACGTTGACCTGTGCCCTCCAGCGCCGAAGAAGCCCCGCTCAATAGGTCGAATACAAGTTGTATGCGCACTCAAATTTGAAATCTCCAACTTCTATCAGAAATTGAGCGTCTCGCCTAAGTACTTTTGTTGAGCATCTTGTTCCGGGGGATTTCTTGGTATATCAACGTTTCGGAGATAGGCTGGGAGCTTCTGGTGGAGTCGCGTGGCTGCTTTCACTTCGAAGAAGTCTTGCTATATGATTCAATTACTAGTTTCCTGCTTAACAAAATGTTAACAACTCTGTCCTCCTTCAGCTATTGGGCTTGTCAGCTCACTATCTGCTCTTAGCTACTTTCCAAGGAGGTTTGATTGGTCTGTCTTCCCCGCGCAGACTGGCTGAGTTTCTGACAGAGTTACATGGTGCCTTCCCTTTGAGAAGTTGGAGCTGGTGCAGTTCGGCACGTTGTGCATTGCCGTGTAGATGACTGCACAACTTCCACAAATCGTAGTGATTTCGAAATCAAGGTAATTATCTGCCTTAGTCACAGGTTGAGCTGGCATTCTTCTTTTCGCTTTTATTTACTTATTTTGGGTACAACATAGAACTATTTTTGGTTGGTGCACTCAAATAATGTAGACCGTCGCTATTAGAAGCCTGTCTACCGCAGTCTAACCGAAATGGCTGGACCTTTTGTGCAGGCATACGAAACTTTTTCAGTAAACCAAAAAAATCAAGAAGTACTGGAGTTGATCATGAGGATTATAATAATAGCGATGGGGCAAGGCGGAATGAGCCTATGCATTGCTACCAGAGTGAAAAAACTCAAATGAGGGAGTTTGGATTCGTCTTCTAATCGAAGAACCAAAGAGCGCGTTGAAATTGGGTGTCAAGAAACCCGTTGTTTGAAAACGTCAGTTGCAGCGTAGATGATTAAAATACTTGGCTCTCAGCTGAGTATGCAGTGCACACCATCGACCTTATAAAACATCGGCGACTTTTCGTTATGTGGTCGCAGGCCCGTGTCATACTGCAGCAAGGGGACCCTGGCTGTTCGAAATTGCGGTTCCAGCAACTTTTAGTGGATATCTACAAGTGTTTGTCATCTTAGTAGACTTAAAGCTGGCACTGCGGATATCTACTGGTAGCAGTGGGTCGGATGATATTTTACGAAGTTGTTCAGATTGCTGCTATCATAGCTTTGTAAGTAAATGGGATGATCAATACTAAGTACAAGCACTCTGTGTTCTTTTTGTCACTGGAAGTACAAGCATTTTGAGTTAATCACTGCCTTGGATATGAAGCGGTCAGTTTTGAGTACCACTATGGCTAGTGTGCCATTTGATTGACATTTCAAGGGTGTGAGGCTTTGATGGAATCGCAGTGTTTTGAGTTGTGTGAGGTACCTTGTAGATCTTAGACGAAGGACGACGGCCATCTCTTTGATGCATGGAATGAGTGTCAGTTGAATAAGCCTGGTGTTGTTCTGTAATGAGTAACTCTGGTTGGGATGAGTGTCGATCCAACAGATGAGTTCTTGGATGCACGTTCTGAAGTGTCCGGATACGTAGAAACTTGCCACTACACCACAAGGCTCATCCTCCCATGCACCCAAAAGTTTCAGAAGCGGTAGTCAGCCATGCAATATCAGCTTCGCACTATCTGGCAATAAATCTTGCCTCTTGAGAAAGTAGCAACCATTTCGAAATATTGTGAAACCACAGAAGAGGTTTTCGCTTGGGGTTTCACTTCACTTGACACTTCCTGACACTAATTATTCAAGGCATATGTATACACTTCCACTGTCTTTAACAAAACCAAAAAAGAAAATGGTAGTGGCACACAACACATTAGGTGAGCACTGCTTGGTGTGTTGTAAAGATAATCCTGTTCTCTGTTTGCATGATGTCAGACTACCTGAAACAGGAAGCATTCACATAAAACGTTTTTTGTCATACTTTTTGAAAATAAGCCAACATACTTCAACAAAAGTTGAGCAGTCAAAGAGAAAGCTTCTGAGAAATGAGCAGATGTATAGAACACCAAGAAAACTGGTATAAGCACATATATGCTAAATATGAGGTATATTTAGCATATGAGTTTCTTTTTTTAAGTGCAATGAGTTGCTACATCCCATGTATTCAACAAGTCCATGTTTCTGATCTGACACAGCCACTGAGCTTTGAATCCACATTGACCTTGGAGAAATCAATAAAAAAACAATTGTCCATGAGTAGTTGCCTATTTTTGGCAACCATCAAGAGCAAAGGCAATTTGTTCTTGCCACTTTATGCAGTACATAGCTTGAATGAGGTATTCAGGAGTGTAAGCAACCCTTATCAGATGACTTTCATAGCAATCCTAATATTAATAATTTATTCTATAAAAGTTGAGTTTATACTTGAAGACACCTTAAACATTATACATTATATGAAAATACTATAAGTTACTTGAGTATAAGGTTTATGTGTCTCAATCACCACCAATTTTGAATTTCTAATTATTTAAAACTTTTTTGAAATAAATAAATTAGTGATATTGTAATATGATTGGTTTGCATTTCTAAGCATAATTACCTTTTAACTAAAGCATTAAGAATTGGAGAATAATCATAGTTGTTGGTTTTAGAATTGTAAAAGACATGTCAAATATTTTAAAAATGAAATTGGTATATATATATATATATATATATATATATATGAACATATTTCTTTAGTTTTCAATACTGATTTAAAACTGAGTTTATTCTTGGATTTTATTCTACTTTTGAAATTACTTATTTTAGAAAATCCAATTGGTTGTAACTTTCATACACATAAATTTTAATTTTAATGATATCCAAGGATCTTTTATTTGCTTTTACTTCATAGTTTAGTATCATTTTTAAAAAACTTATATTACTAGTTGTATATGTCTATTGACAATACAACACACATCATTACAAATAGGAAGCCATTTAGATTTTATATATTCAGGTACATATTATTTTCCATAAATTACAATCAAGTTTTCTCCCATACAAGAAATCCTCAATTTCATTTATGGTTATGTATTTTAAATAGTAACAAGAAAAAGTTCCACAATCCAATCCTTTTGAAGTTGTGTTCTTTCTGCCAATAACATAATAAGAGAGTAAATTCCTTCAATGAGAAGTATGTAAGTTGAATGTAAGGAAGACAAACTAAAATCTGCAAAGCAGCCATAGTTTGTTACAAGCTAGAGAATGGATGAATAATCTAACCATAAGGTGGGGCATGAATGCTCAAACAAACCTTGTGACCAATTTTAGTACAAAACAAATTCCTTTTTATCTTAAAATAAATTAAAGTTTACCAAAATACTAAAATTTAACTTTCTTAGTAGAGTTTATTCTCTTATTTTTGTTATTGTGTGAGTATTAAGTATTTGGTGGAGGGTTCTATTTTATCTATGTTTGCCATATTCAATAAGGATTTCAAAGTACTCAAATACAATTACACAAAAGATGTCAAATGCCAAATGGAATTTTGAACAAAAATTGAAAAGACTTAACAAAAGCTGTTTATTTAGTATCTAGGGACCATGTATGAATTATTTGGTGTGAAACCAACTTAATAAGAAAAATGCACCAGTTACAGAATGTGGGGGGAGGGAGGAGTGTAGCTAATATCATTCATTTTTCCCACCATACGTTTGAATATATATTGATAAAGCAGCTGGGTATGCTCAATATGAATCATTTAAGTGCATTTAGAGAATTCTCCACTATGACCACTATTACTACCACTACAATACGCTCTTTTGTATTCTATTATGCAACGAGGGCCCAAAACTTGAGACAACTTTAACAATCTCCTTGACATTCTGTTTGCTTTTTGTGGAAGATAGAAAAAATGACATGGTCAACTCTATATTAGAAATTAAATAATAAGAAAACCTCAAAATTGTGCATGGACTAGATACCTGTGACCAAGTTGGTGTTGACTTCAGGACCTATTACATCAATGAGCCTACTGCTATTTATATATTTTTTCTGTTAAATAGAAGTAATAATGAACATGAGTATTTGATGAACAAATAGTCCAGATGGGCACACTCCAGCATTGACTCAGACAATGCTCAATCATCAACAAATGGAAGACCCTTCTTCCCTTCGTTTGACATCATGAGCACTGAAAAATAATAGATTGAATGGAATGTAGTTCTGCCTTTGATACATTCTCTTATCCATACCTCCTGTAAGACAAATTATCATAATTTATAATTAAATATGGTGTGGTGTTGCACAAAAAATCTTCAAACTAAGAGCATTTATGAAGGTTTAAGGATAAAACCAAAACACTAGTAGGGCTTGCTTTTTTACCAACATACAGAAAGGGTTCTAAGGCAAGTCTTGTGGAATGCTGTGGATGGCAGCACCCTGGTTGCCTTATTCTGTGGTGAAACTGTCCACTGGAATGGCACCCAACAGTGTTCTTTTTGTGGAACTGTTTAGGGTTAGCAAGCAACATAAATGTATTGGAATTTATAGCTTGTATGAGTCTACAAAGTTGGGTGTGCTCGGGGTTCTTCCAAGGGTTTTGAAGGTGCAGACTTCTAAGGTTGTCAGAGAGCTTCTTATCCCTGCAATGGCTTTGGAGGCTTGCTAGCTTCCAGGGGGCTTGACATGAATAACTTGCTCACATGGGTCTCATGGCAAAAGGGAATAAAAGTTGAAGGAAAATTAAACCCAACAAATTAAAAATTAAAAAGGGATTAACGCAAGATAAAGAATGTTGATGTGATTTGCAAAGGGAATAAAATTCATCCATCCGCCTTCACTGTGTGTACGCTTCATTCATTCATCCGTCCAGAACCTGTTTGGATGAGCTGGTGATCCATAACGCTTGGAATGTATTCCCGATGTCCTTTTCCACAATGGGCAAACTAATAAAAGTGTTATTCAATGTATATACTTAAAGTTTTCGAAATTAGAGAATTTGGAATTTGTCTGATGTATGCACATTTCAAAAACTGGGATGGATGGATGAATGATGGATGCAACTATGGGCTCTCCGGAGTGGGTCAAAGAGACTTCCCTTGTATTCCCATTGGGCTTGACAGTTGCAGGGAATTGAATGCCAGGTAATATATATTTAGAAGCATCTTTCGATGAGATTCTACAAGATTCCATTACATTGCACAGGTTCCCATGACTGGAGCCAGGAGAAGTTCCCATTGATGAGAACCAGGGCACCCAGAAGCTCCCAAGAGTATGAGGACATCCGAACCAGACTCTTCATTGTGAACGGAATCCTGAGCCTCTCTGTTGTCCAGCTGTCGGTCCACCTCAGCATCCAGACTTTGCCAGCTGTGCTCAGTGGGTGCCACCTAGGCAGTGGCACCCTGCTGCCAAAAACCACGTCAGCCGCTCTCCCTCGTTGCTTCCGAAATCAACGGCCAGAAAAATATACACATTTTGTAATGTAAATTGTTTAACTATTTTAGTGTAAAATTATAAAATAGCAATTAAAATGATTATTTTTTTGCAAAGTATTGCGATGTTGTTTTGAAGTGAGAAATATTGTTGTGGAAGTAAATTAAGTCCTTCAAATAACCAATAAAACAGTGTTTTTTTTTAAAAAATAAAAAATAAATTCAAACATTAATATACAATGTTTAAATATAGGTGTGTGTTATCTGACATTATGATACTATATGATTTTTGTGACACAGTTGAGTATTATCTTGCGGAAATTGAAATAATTTAAGTTGATATACATGTCTATTAAATACGGACTAAATTTATATTATATTATTTGTTTTCATATTGCATGACTTTTCATTTGTTTAACTTTAGAATGTTGGATGACAATCAGAATTTGTAATAAGCACAAATATACATGGGTAAGGGGATGTAATCTGAAATCTTAATCAACCAAATTGAGGTTCTCAATACTATTGGAATTTTATTCTATTTTAATTTTTGAATAAAATGATAATTGAATCCATGTTATGATTTTGTGATTTGTGTTGAGCATAAAGTATGCACATAGTAAAAACATTCTGTATGACCAAAAAATACCAATAAATTCTGAGTTCAAAAAATATTTTGCATGATATAATGTCAAAGAAGTTCAGATGTGACATAATCCAATATATATGTATATAGCACGTTAGGTTATTAAGAATTTCATGGGTTTCATTAAATAACAAATGACGTTTACTAATTTCTCATTTTATTTTTCTAAAAACGATTATTCATCGGTGCAACATAATTGGGTTAGAACCTATTTCATGAGTGGCCTCAGTTTTGAACTGTGAAT